CTGCCCATCAACATCTTCCAGGTGCTGATGGAGGACCGGCAGACCAACCGGCTGCGAGAGTCACTCGACATCTTCGAGACCATCGTCAACAACCGCGTCTTCATCAACGTCTCCATCATCCTCTTCCTGAACAAGACGGACCTGCTGGAGGAGAAGGTGAAGCTCGTCCCGGTCAAAGACTACTTTCCCGAGTACGCCGGGACGGAGCACAGCCTGCCGGACGTGCAGGCCTTCATGGTGGAGTGCTTCCGGGCCAGGAGGCGCGACGCCACGCAGAAGCCCCTGTATCACCACTTCACCACAGCCATCAACACGGAGAACATCAGGCTGGTGTTCCGGGATGTCAAGGACACCATCCTCCACGACAACCTCAAGCAGCTCATGCTCCAATGACCCCCACACACACACTCGCACACCAAGCACCCCCTTTCCACTGCTCCGCCCCGCAGCCTGTGAACGTAAGAGGACGTGAATGGGGACTGACCACCCCTTGCTTCCTGATGAGGACTGCAGAGATCACAAATTGATGTCTGCAGTCTTTAGACTTTGTTTATTTTTCAGTAGTTTTTACTCCTTTTGGAAGTGTTCACTCTGTTATTAGCTCAGGGCCTGATTGTTGGATAGGGTATTTAGGCAAACTGTGGTATTAAAGGTATAAACAAGAAACCACACTGGGTTTCTGGATGGTATCTGATCCCTGCTACTTTGTCCTCCTCCCTGAGCTCCACCTTATTTAGTTGGTTATTTTGTTCTCTTATTTTTAACCCTTAGGATGCCAATGCTGGCACCTGTGGAAGTAGGCCTCACTTCAAAACAAACTGGTGAATGACATCTACTCTGGTAATGCAAACAGAGTAACCGTGGAGAAACGTTCAAGCGACACATGGAGAAAGTTGATTGGATTAGGTTCACGCCTCAGCACTGACTTTTAATATTTTCCTGCCCTGCAGTGATGCTGAGGGCGAACCTAGCTTCTTATTGACCTGAGCGTTCAGAGTTAACACGTCTGATCTGCCTCCAGCACTGACACGTCATTTAGAGAAGACACACAATCACATGACTGAACCTTTTTCCATGACCACATAGGTGTTGCCTTAGAATTTAATTTTTTATTACTATTATTGTTATTATTATTAGGATGTTGAGAGGGTAAAACGGTTGCCTTTGTCAGACCGTTTGGTTCCAGTAAGTTAACTAAAAGTCTGCTGTTTCCTCAGGGTTGAATCGGATCTGGTGTTGATACTGATGTGTGAAGCTCGATGTTTGGCGGTGCGAACAGGCCTCCACGCCGTTAGCTAGTTGGTGTTTTTAGGACTGCATCCTTCCCCCGATTTGTCCTTCCGCCTCTTTTGATTTTATTACTGATTATAGACGCCTTATAAAATGACCTTCACATGGCCCTCCTCTTTGTTTTGCCTTAATCATGAATGTGTTAATAATTGTACAGGGATTTGCTCTTGATTGTTTGAATAAACTGTAACCGGCCTGTGAAAACTTTGTTATTGGCACTGAGTTGAGACTCTAAGCGTGTTTATGAAAAAAAAAAAAAAAAAAGCATTGAACATTTCCCTTTTTTGTTGTTTTTGTTTGTGCTGCTTTGGACTTCCCTCTAAAATGCATTGTGATTATTGCAGAAATCTGGCAGAGGGGGGAAAAGCTACTGGAGTTGCATAGTTTTGAGTGACTATAATCTGTAAGGGTGGCTGATATTTGTTAGAGGACAATTTAAAGGCACTCAAGTGTCTTTTGCCAAATAATTCTACACTTTATCTTCACAGTTTTTCTGCATTATTGTTTTATTTCTTCGTAAGTACAGCTCTGCAGAGCTTTGGTTTCCTTTCATTCCTGGCTTTGTAAATAGTGTGATCTGTTTTCCTGTAAATATCATTCCAGTTTATCTTCTTTTATGTAAATGGTTGTAGAAAATGCATATTTTTTTCCCATGCTGGATGTTCTTCAAATCACTGCATCTTATCAATGAAGATGACCTTTTGATGTAGATTTTATTTTGTAATTCCCACCTCCTCCACGTTTTTCACATTTATCATGTCAAACCCCATGCTACTATAACCCTATCAATAAAATAAACTTTTCTAATGATACTGATAATTACTGTTTTTTTTCCTGACTTTTGAGCATCATTTTTATTTAGTAGAGAGGCGGAAGATTTGACATTTCAGATACAATGTGAGCTTCTGCTACGTTCAAGGGTTTTAAATCTTGAACAAAAAAATATCTGAACCAGCAGATGGTTTCATCTACAAAGTGGATTTGACATTTTATGTCTCGCTCTAATCTAAGGAATGTAGTTTTAGGGAGGAAAAAAAAAATCCATGTGTGTTTTTGGGTTGTCAAACATGCCGTGACATTTTGATCTGATTGGCTAGTCGGGCATCACGATGACTCCCCTCTCAGAAACTCTGGCTCCTAGGAAGAACCTGTGCTGTTTTGGGGAAACCGTCACCCGAATCGACACAAGTACCAATCACCCTGTCAGATTCAGTCAGAATTGTTTTGATTTTTTCAAAATGATCACACTCCTTGTTCATGCCCTGATGTGAATAAACTTAAGAAAAAGACTTTTATAAGATGTTGGAAAAACAAATTCACAATTGTGTCAAATTGTATGCGAGTTAAGAAAGTTATTAAAAGAAGAACTAACGGAACAGACATCAAATGTTTGGCTAACAAAGCTGATTCTGATTCAGAGTTCACAAAAAAATAATACTCAAAATGAAGCCTCAAAAATGAGTGAGATAATTAAGATAATGTCTAAGCTGTGCAGAGACATAAGGATGTCAATATTTGTCAGAGGAAAAGTACACTTTGCATTTTAAAAGCTGCTACAGCACCAGTACTGAACTACGATTTCATTACCTTCTCACGTTGTGCTGGAGGTATTTTGACCCCCTCTTCTTTCCAGCATCGGCTCCATTTATTGGGGTTTGCTGGCCTGCGTTTAAGTTGCCATGGCACTGTCACCACCACCACCTTGTTTGAAATCTTTTTCAGTCATATTGCTTAACGCTGCGTTTGAGACCATTTTTCTGCTGTTGTCCTCAGCTGTCGGACACATTGAACTCTTTTGATACAAGGTTGAATATTTTTGCCTCAATGGCTTCAAAGAGCTAATAAAGGCTGTGTCTGAAGAGAAAGCCTTTATTATCCATGAAATCCACATCAAGCCAGATAATGTGGATTTATCTGCCATTACGATAAATGTAAACATACATCTTATAACTCAAAAAGTATGTTTACAGAGTCATGTTGAGCAAATAAAAAGAGGTCAGGGAATTGAAACTGAATTGAACTCGGGCAAATAAAGCCTGATTATGTCCATGTGCTCTAAGCGCTGGCCACCAGCTTTTATTTGGGCAAACTCCCACAGCTCATTGTAAAAGAAGAAACAAGTAAAGCAAACCAACCAAATCATAATCACAAGCCAAAGATGAAAAATAGTTGACTGAAAATAGATCAGGGTACTAATATTACATGGTTGCAAATTGAACAAATGTATTTAAATTACTCAGTAAACATTTGCTGCACACTCGAGTGGTTAATTGTGTTTGGGTAACAATAAATATAGAAAACAATAATCCGAATCACAAGACATAATCTAAAATTTAAACTCCAAGACGAGATGATTTTATGTACTGATTTGTAAAACCCTTAAATAGAAAGTGTAAACTTCTTTCTTTGTTCTCTCTCTTTAAAAAAAAAAAAGAAAAAAAAACATAACTAGATTTTGTTCCAAGTTTTAATAAAAAGGGAAGAACCGTTTGATTGGTAGTAAAGTGTTTCGTTTTTGGTGGAATTGAAATCAGAAACGCTCCTGCTGATATAACCGAAACGAAAGATGACATCACTTCCTTCGCATAACGTCGTGTATTCGCAGGCTTGGGGGATTTACGCAAAGGCGGAAGTAGTGAGCGTGAGTCGCCCGAACCATGCCAAAGGTAACGTTGAAGCTTCATGTCCAAACAGGACTTTGACTGCCTGGCCTCCCTTTTATTACCTCCAGACATAAAATAGTGCACGCCTAGACACGGAAGAGTATAAACAGGCTCGATTGCCCTGAGCAAACAGTCTGTCAGCACATCCGCCATATTGAAACGGGCAAGATTCCTTTGGGGACGGAACACAAGTGCTCATAGGGACGGGGTCTTCTGAGTGAACAACGCACTGAATTATAAATAGATACTATTATAAACCATTTACACCACTATTGTTTCAGTGCTTTGCTTGAAATGGAGCTATTTGGACAGAAATACATTAAAAGATGAAGTAGCTACTACTAAGAGGCAAACAGGCTCAAAATACACTTAAACTTATATAAATTCACTTCTGAATTTGCTTTATATTTTTATCTTGGAAAAAGATCAAACATATATCTTGTAAAAAGGTATTAACAGAACCTATTGCGGTGATAACAATGTACTTGTACAAAGTAGCCAGAATTGAAGTAATGACCTCTCCTTACAACTGTATATTTATTGGATGTTGATCGTCATAAGATCGTTTGTACAATAAGTCATTAATACAAAAAGACGCATCCACTTCATAAATATTTGTGTTGAAACCGCATGGCATGTTAATTTTTGCTATTTGTGCCCAGTGAGCTCCACAAACAGCACTGAAACGAACACATAATTCTGTATTTAAAAATATTTAATGGAATCAGTTCATAATAAAGTTCTGCGTTTCAGTCATCAGGAGTGAGAGTCTCCTATTGTTTCAGTCCGAGAATTTGCCACTCACAAAATGGCGGCATGCGCTCACATATCGTTTCTCTCGGCGACCAAGGCAGCGTAATGTTCTACACTTATAAATTCATATGAGAGTTTAACCATTTATATAATTCGTTCATTTAATATTGAATTCCAAGCGCCATTTTAATTTTGAACTATAAGACTTTGAAGTTTCTACCAAATATCTGAGTTGATCATTTTTTTATTTACACTCAGGCTTCACACGCGCCACCCAAAAAGGTCTTTCCCAAACGTGTTGTGAAGTCAGAACTTTAAAAACACAACTCGCGTTTAAGTGTTTAAACGTTGCATTGGCGCTGGTTAATGCTATGACAGATAGTACTTTACAACAACAAGTGGCTCCGCTGAAACTGACCGTCTCTTCATTTTGGGAGCATACTGTATAAAACCGCGTAAAATGAGTTCTGGTAAGTGCTTTAAAAACCGATGTAATCCACACATTTAGAGCTGTCACTTTTGAACTACATCTACAGAATGACCTATTAACTTTTTCTTATAAAGTTTGAGGATTTTATGTGGAAAAAATCTTAAGAGACCTTGTGAAAAACGAAAAGGTCACCCCAAAGTGTAACTTTTAAATAAATAAAATAGGTTCCTATATAAATTGTTGTTTTGTTGGTGTAACTTTAAATGTTGCATTGACTTGATAACATTTCCATGGCTGATTTACTATTCATGGGAAACATACACGACTCATAAAAAGTTTGGGATATTTGCCTGTGAGCTGAAATGCATATTAAATGTATGTCATCAAAGTTGGCCAATATATTACATTGGTAATTTGAAGAATCTGAATTTATTGATTAAAACTAACATTATCAACAATAAAGCACAGCAAAGAACATCAATGGTTTCCACCCTCAGGTCACTGGGATTCTGGAGTGCTATTCAAGATACAGGGCTATAGAAACTGCAGCTCACAGTATTTGATGTATAAATGTTTCCTGATGATGCTGGTGCATTGTCGTCTGTGAATATGAAATGTGTTACTCATTCAGAAGCACAAGTGCTGATGTTACTCAAGTAGTAGCGGCTTGTCAGAGTACTATTCACGAGGTGCAGGCCAGTTCTGCATTGAATAATCACATGGCCTGTTCAGCGATACCATCAGTGATGCAAAACATTTTCCTTTACACCCCCAACATTGTTGGCGTGAATCAGAGAGCTGCAGTGAAACCCACCGGTTTCTTATCCTGCGCACATCTTTTGTGAATTTAAATATTCATAGTTCAGTCGACGCTCAGTCATCAAACATGTGATTTTTCTGTCACATTGTTATGCAATTTGTGATTATACCAACATGATGGTCCATTTTAGATGCCTCCATCTGGCATTGTGGGCAGGTTTACTTGCAGTTATTATTATTAATGAGTTACACTCAGGTTCGCAGGTGTTTCTTGCCTCTTTTAGCAGTTCCTGGTGTTGAGTTATACAGTATTCCTCATCTGGTTCTACAGGGAGTTGCTCACAGGTCTTCAGCATGGGTGTGGTCAAGGGCTTCTGCTCCTGTGTGCCTTTCATTGCCTCAACGTATAACACTTTATGACACAAAGTTCTGTAGAAAGTTTTTATCCTGGAGCATCCAGTTACACCAACAAGGCTTCCAATGGCCAGGTACGGTTCATCAATTGTTGGCTGGCAGCACTGTGAACTGTTTAAATACAAATAGCCAGATCACATTGTGGTTGATTCATTGATGAGACACAGAAAAGCACGTTATGTAATATGCTGAACAATAAACAGCTGAATAGGTGCATTAAGATAAGCTCAAATTAAGTTCACCTGCGGAGAGGATGATGCATTTTAGGTGCTCTCTGAAATTTGATCAGGAGCTGGAATATCCCTCGCATTTGTTAACAGTGAATATGGAAGCCTATTTCATGAAAATAAAGAATTTATGTCTCCTAATTATGAAGATGCGTATAATAATTTGGACTTAATTAAAGAATTTTACGAAATAGATAAGAAAAGGAGCCTTTATTTTGGGCCCTCATATTGAGCTGACAACTGAGAGGTTTGGCAGGACAAGGATCCCAGCCACATAGAAATGTAAAATGTCCCTTTAACATTATTACGTGGTGTATTATTATAATATTTGAGCCTGTATTTCAAAGTTTGATCAGACCAAATTAATGACATTCACACTCATTGTGAGTGAATATACATACCTCACTGCAACTGCGTGTTACTTTGACTTTGCACTTACCCTAAACGTCTCTCACTGTCATTTATTCTGCCCACAGAAGTCTGTCCATTCTGTGGAAAAACTTACAAAAGGTTGAAGAGTCACCTTCCACACTGCAAGGCAGCAGCGAGCTCTAAAGCACCTTTAGTCACACAGGATGTTGCAGCCACTCAGAAACCTGCTTCCCATCCGGCTGCAGTGGTTTTCGAAAAAACCTCAAAGGAAAAGAAGAGCAAGCAAATGTCCTCCGTGGCAACGTATCTAACGTCAGAGAGGAGCAAAAAAGGTTCAGCGGCATCATCAGAACCAATGCACCCAGCAGCACCAGATGGCTCATCTTCACCATCAAGTATTGCATCAAACTCATCAACCTCGAAGAAGACGAAGAAAAAACAGTCCCTGGGTGATGAACTCGTTACAACAGCCCCATCCACCTCCTCACCTTCTCCACTGTCCTCTACTTTGTCCAAGCCAAAGAAGAGTCTCCGTGCTTTGATAGAAGCAGCAAAATCTGAACATATTGCAAAGGAAACTTTCAAGGGAACCACATCAGCCTCAAAAGATTTAAGTTTGAGTAGAACCAGCAACCAAACAAAGACCAAAGCAGTTCCAGACTCATTTAAAGACACCAGTGTTGCTTCTGTGCTTGCAGAAACTAAAGTTAACAAAGAACCAAAAGTGAAGGATGTTCTTTTGACAACCAAATATACCTCTGACTTCCTGGACTCTAATGCGGATAAAAATAATATCAAGCACCCTGATTGGGGGATTGAGGGGTCTGTGGAGCCAGGAAGTGGTCACCAGATGAGACGTACCCTGCAAGATGTTAAAGCCACACTAGGCAGAGCCGCCAGCCACCCGCTGAGCAGCCGGCCGACCATCCTGAGCCGCATCGCAGCAGCTGACAGCCTGAACAGCGAAATCAGGCTGGACACTGATCTGGGTCTGATCCCGCTCTCAGCGGCGAACCAAAAACACCCCGTAAACTATTTGGCAACACCCACAACTCAGTCAGATAAGCAGCTCTGCAATAGAAAACAACCGAAAGAGCTACAACTGTTTCAGAAAAACTCTAAACCAACTCAACAGGATACTGATCATCAGCTGGAGCCAGCATGTGCAAAAGTACAACCTGGTACAAGTTCCTCCCTCATCAATGAGAGCCTGAAGGTGGATCCTCACAGAGGACGACTCTCAGCATTTGCATCCCCCCACCTGCTCTGCAGCCACCATCTCCATCCTGCTGACACACAGAGTTTGCCTGGGATGGCTGAAGATTTCCAGCTCCTCACCAGGAAGAAAATTGTTGCTAAAAAGCCAACTGAAGGTTGGTGTTCCAGGAAGCAGACCAGCTGTTGGTATTGAGGGTCTAACACTAGAAACATAGAAAATGCATTTTAGATAACTCTGCATCAGCAATTGTGCCTTCTGTGCAATTGCTTCTGTAATTTTTGACTCTCTAAGCTGTTCCAAACCAGTCGTGAAGGAGATTTAGTGTTCCTCTTTTTATGAAATGCAGGATTGCTGACACAGCGAAGTTTGGACCAGGTGAGACTGAGGGAGCTGCCTGCTTGGCTGGCCAGCAGAACACCCGGTCGGCCCAGAGATGTTGTAGAAATGGTGGAGAGAGGTCAGAGCCATACACATCGATTTGAGTCACGAATAAAATCATTAAACCTGTTGCTCAAAATATTTTTGTTTTGAAAATAGTTTGTAGAATTTTGTGTACATCACTTTCATATCTTCTCACAAATTAGAAAAATGTTTGTTTTTTTTGCTTGATACAGCATTTTATACAGGATGCTGTAAAATCGCCTTGGAAATTAAAACAACTTATTTGGAGCCATGTTTTTGTTATTCTCCGAAGCTACAACTGGCTCCTTGGTCTTTCTAGGTCAACTCTTACTAACTTTGACTAAAAATAATAAAATAATTGTTATAAATATAATAGCAAATGCATCATATTCAGTTTGTTCTCAGAATAATTGCATTTCATTTCCACAACAGAATGACAGACGTGTCTGTATTAAAACATTTTTAATCTATTTTTCTCGCTATTAGGTTGGAAACAATGTACTTTTTTTTTCACATCAGTTTTCACAAATTTCAGTATCCCATAGAGGAAAATGTGTCCGTCAGCTTTTTGCTTGTTGTTCCTTTCAGGCTGGTTGTGGTATTACAGACGGTACATCGATGTAAAGAAAGGCAGCATCGGTGGACTGAGCATGCTGCTGGCAGGATACTGTGTGCTCAGCTACATCTGGAGTTACCCCCATATCAGTGAGTGGGATCATCAGTGTCGGTATCAGTGCCTTCTTATAAAACGTAGATGTGCTAACTCGTCCATATTCTTTTCTCCTCAGAGTTAAGTCGTTGGAGGAAGTATCATTAACGCGAAAGGAAGGATTTAAGACAATCGTGACTGTAGGGAAAAAGCAGGGAGTATACACTTGAGTCTCTCCAACTATGAATTTGACAGGATTTATATTTAACTTGTGACTGACGTAGGAAGATGTTATTCATTTCAACTACACATGCGTTTGCTTTTAGTTGAACAGACTCCTATTGATCAGGCAACATAAGGCAGCTGCGTGTGAATGTAGCTTAAATAAAGTGTGGAGTGCAAGGAAATCCAATATGTTTGCCATTTGTACTTTCTGACTGAAGGCAATGAAGTTTGTTTTTGCATTTTTTTTAATATATGTTTTTATTAATATTTTATTTAACTGAGAAAGTTTGTTGAGAACAACTTTAAAACGATGAGCTGGCGTGGCCTAGAGTCAACAGTGAAGGGAATCTGTACAAAAACTCATTAAACAGTCTTAGAAAACAATCTTTTTCAAACAATATATATGTAATAAATCCAAGGAAAATTTCTAACGCAATTTTAATTTATAAATATAATTTTCTTAGTCATTTTGATGTGATTTCAGAAACAGCTCACTTTTTGAGATAACAGGGTGAATTAGCTCTTGTCATATTGAGTTTCATCCAATCATTTTGAAGACAGAGAAGCGTTTGAAGCAAGTGTCGCATTTGAAAGAAATACATTAATAACTTATCTAAATTGTGCAAACTTTATCATGTGAAGTAATTATGTAATTTTACCATTATGGAAAAACACAAGAATGATGTATCAGGTTTTTTTTTAAATGACTGTAAACCAAGAAAATAATTTTGAAATCTTTCTTTCCAAAATACTTCCTTGTGTTAAGAAATCAAGTTTAAGATCTTGTTATCTTTATACTAAAATAAGAAAAATATAAGCATAACGTGAAGGCTATCAAAGCAACCTGTGTTTCCATTACATTTCAGCAAAAGGGAGAACAAATCAAGGAGTATGCAAACTTTCCAGGACTTCTGTACTTACAAAATTAGCATGTGACAAAACTAGCTACAGTTTTGCCACAGTTGAGTTCTTGAAATTTTGTGGGACTTTTTATGCTCACAATCCACCAATGTTAACTTCTCCACTATGGTACTTGTATAGATATGGCTTCAACATCACAAGATATTTTAAAACTCTGAAAGTTTTAAGCAGTAAATATGTAGAAAAACTGAAATATGAATTTCTTTTTTCTATTTTTATTTTTTTTTAAGTGTGACTGTTGTAAATATTATCTGGCCACATGTCGATAAGAAAAGCGTATTTATATTTATAAGTATTTATTTTCGGCAATTGTGCCTGCTCTCCACCAGATGTCACTGTTGAGTTGTTACTAAAACCAAAAAGCGTAAGTGTCCTGAGGCAAGGTTTTCCCCTCACTCTTTTGTGCAAATGCATGATCAGATTAAATGCAACTAACAGATTTTGACTCAATAAAGACTAACATGTACCCTAAACATCCTGACCTAGTAGTACATGAACAGATTCTACTTAAATCTCAAATACGTTTTCTTGCTCGTAACGCTTCCCTTGCCACATGGCGTGATTATGCATGCTCAGTCCATCAGTACCAGCCTGCAAACTCTCACAGAATAGCAATGGCGGGGGGGAAACAGAAGAGGCTTCTCAGTCAGACTGGATCTGCTTTTGTTGTGTTCAAAATGAATTTATTGTTGAGTCTCCTCGCTGCTGTAGTGAACACGTTAGCTACAAATGAGGAAATGACAGCCTTTTATATATTTATATCTATATATATATATAACTACGTTTCCTGACATCTGGCCTCTCAGCCAACACAATAAAAAAAATAATTTTCAGTCTTGTGTTCTCTTGTTTTCATGAAACAATATTTGTTTTTGTATCCATACAAAATTATAAATATTTTATGTTTGACTTTTTCTTTTTTCATACAAAAGCAAACGATACAAATCAAGTGAGATAAACCAATAGCAAGAAATGGAATAAAAAAAGAACAAACAACAAACTGCAGCAAAGGAGTGAAGGGAGAGCGAGAGAGCACAGTATGTTCCCACCAGAGCCCATGACATGCATCCAGATATCGATGTTTCAGCAGCGTATGCTGCTCTGTCAAAGCACAACGTTACTGTGGACGTATGTGATGTAGAGGCACAAAATCTCCCCTGCTCTCAAATCGAACCTTTTCTCCGTGCGGTTGCTGCTAGAAGATGTCCGCAAGGGTTCAGGCAGACACAAGCAGGCTGCGATGGTCACTGGCACTCAAAAGGAGAAAAAAATAAATCAAAAAAAATCCCCCCCCATCACCCTGCTGAAAAGGCCTTTTTAGGTTTGCTCCAGGAGGACAGCAAGCGTATTTGTAAAATCGGGGATCAAAAGCAGTGCTGTCCAGAATGTTTAACCTTTGGTCGTGAAAGCAGTCTCAGTGCAGGTTTGTGTTTAAAAAGGTCATTTCAAAACCAAAGTAAAAATGAATCATCAACTAAACATGAGTTTTAGATTTGAAACGATTCAAGAACAACTTAAAATCAGGACATGTAGCTTTAAAGAAAATTGTGGTTTGTTTTTATTCGTCCAGAATTGAATAGACCTCAGGCAGGTGGGGATGGAGAAGACCATTCAGGTTCTGGTCATTTTTAGCCTTTGCCATTTGTTTCAGAGTAAAGCAGAAAACTTCTACTCTGGGTTTTTAAGTGAGTTTAAGCTGCTGGGAATATGGTGATGCTGCTCTAACAAAGAATATCTACCATCAGGAAGTCAGTTTAAGAAATTATGATTGGATAAGGAGTCATAATCGTTCATGTTTTATAAAAGCTGACAGGAATCAATAGCAAAACTAATAAAACGTGGCTGTAGACAGGAAGTAGGTTAGGACAATTTGTGTCTGTGACCTGGCAAAGGGACAAACTGACCAGAGCTGATTATTCTGCTTCCAAATGTATTTTTGGTTGTATTGCTGAAAGGGAAAGTAGAGGAAATTGGAGAACTGCTAATGAACGAGTGAAACGTGAAAATGTGAAGCAAATAGCGAGGCAAGCTACCTGAAAACAGACTTAACCGCAGTGTGGAAATGCAGATAAAACACACACAAACATCCTGTCAGCACAAAAAAAATAAAAAATCATAGGCAGATATGATCAATGTATAACTGCATCCAGAAGGCAGACTTATAAACTGGCGAACACATGAACAGTTAATAAAAGAACAACCAACAAAAGAACAGGAAAAAATATATATATGTCAACACATCTTCCTCAATCTGAGGATGGATCTTTACTTGTTTTGAAATGCTAACAAAAAGTGTCTGAGTGGAAGGTTTGAAAACAATTAAGGTACAGAAGAGGCTTGATAGAAATATACTTAAAACTAAAGAACACAGCTGAGTACAGGAACACCAGTTGACAAGTTTGATGGATTTCTTTTAGTGTGATTCAGAGGTTCTTCTCAGAGGCAACTGAAAGCAGGGGAACTAAAGGGAATTTGGTTCTGCTCCTAAAGTTCACATACAAGTACATCTCAATAAGTCACTGAAAAGCAGGTGTAGTTCAGTCATTCAGTTCAAAAACTGACATGTATAGATTCATTGCACACAAAGTGACATATTTCAAGTCTTTATTTCAGACAATTTTGACATACAGCTAATGGAAACCCTTTCTTAGAACGTGTGAATATTAGATGAGACCAATAAAAACCCAATTTCATATCACAAAAACTACTTTCTGAAGAAGCTGGCTGTCAAGAGCTCTGAATGCATGCCTATTAATAAAAAGTTTAGTGGAAGGAAAAAGTGCAGGAAAAGGTAAAGGAATCGCTGCAACTTTGAGAAGACGATGGACAGTGGCTGCAGTCGCTGCTTCAAGTGCCACCAGAGAAACTGACATCTGAGTTTTTATTTGACGCAAACCATAATCATCAAAATAACAAACACTTAAAATATATCACTTCGTGTGTAATGAATGTATTTATAGGTTTCACTTTTTGAGTTTAATTGCTAAATTAAATTAACAGATGCACTTTAGTGCTGGTTAACAATGTTTGTCTAATGTTGATGTAAACCCTGAAAATATTGTGTGTTCAAAGCAAATTTCTATACTGAGGTTATCTCAAAGGGAAACTTAACACAGAAGCACTCTGTTCAAGCTTTTAAGGAATTATGAACACAGGGAATAATTGTTTCTGAATAGAACTTCTTTGTGTAAACACTTTTTCTATAAAAACCTAGTCAGGCACAGAGCCGCCGCCTCCTCGTCATCCGCCCATGTGTTTGGGGGAAAATTAAATGGCACAAGCTGTTAAATGTGTGAAGACTGGAACGCTCCTGCATTCAAACGTTTCAAATAAAGATTTTTAAATCAACACACAATATTTTTTTCCTTTTTTTTTTTTTTTTTTTTTCTGCATCTGTTAACCTGCTTCATTGCACACATTCCCGGATCTTTTTAAGTGCCTGACTACACCTTTTGATGCTTCGCAGACGTAATGCCTCAAAAACCTTCCAACGCAAACTACACCACTGCTACATGACTGCGTGTCACTAGAGTAAACCTTTCTCCACACTGGAGTTTGACAAAAAAAATAAAGAAAATAAAATACACATGTACCTACAAACAAAACAGAAATCAAACATATTAAGGATGATATGGAGAATCCGTCTTAACATTCGAGGATGCTGTTGACTGCCGCCTCTAACGCAGAATCTGTGTCCGGGTGAGGGGGTGAGGTGAGCTGGGGCGAGTACTGAGGCTGAGACGAGAGGTGGGCCGACACCTGGGAGTGAGTCTGTCCTCCTGCAGCTACTGCAAAAGGTGAGTGTTTACCTTGCGCGTAACTGCTGGCAGCGTCCGGGCTGTTGCCGGCGCTGCCCGACGAGAAGCTCTGCTGTGGTCTCTTCAGTTCCAAAACCTTCTGGTTTTCTAGGTGTGGCGGGTGGAGTCTGTCTGTGGGAAGTGCTCCTGCAACCCCGCCCCCACCCGGGTCTCCAAACCCGGGCTGGAAGTCTGTTCTGTGCTCTGGCTCCACAAAGCCTTGTTCTGACGGATCGCAAGTGTTCTCCGACGGAGAGGGAAAGGGATCTTGGAAAACTTTGGATTTTGTTCCACAGCAGAATTCCTCAAGGAAGCCATCTTGGAACAAAACATAACAAAGCGGTTACATAGAATCATCTAGGTGAAAAGAGTAATTCAGATGTTTTTCCAAGTGTGGTTCTGCTGAAGGGTAGGCAGTTAATATACCACTTGCAATATTGCTACCTTGCTAAGTCATTTTTTTTTGGCCTAATAGATCTTCGTAAAAAAATTTTGTTTGGCAAAAAACGACTTAGGCCATCATTTTCGGAAGGCGATGTTATAAAACTCTTGGCTTCTTCATTTCACTGGTTGGTGCTGGAGGCTGAAACTAACTAGTCTGATGGGAAACAAGACAAAAGCAGTCTTACTCCACCATAAAAACAAGTTAAATCTCAAAAACCTCACATCTATCTATGTTAAAACTTCAATGCGTTTCTGCTACAACTGAAAAATTACAATAAAAAAATTGCAACATGAACACAATGATTTTTAATGCATTCTGTCACAATCTGAAAGTTTCAAAATTGGAATTAATGGAAATCAGGGCATTTCAAGGTGACTGCTGGTTTACCCAGCCTGACTGAACATTTCCCTAAGGAATAAAAGTTGAACAGAGGGAGATAAGAGCTCTTCTGTCTGATCCTCATAACCCTTTACGCCATCTGAGCTTTAATCCTCAAGAAAAAAGTTCATCTGATCTACATAGAAATGCTTCAGAATCCATGACGGAATCGGTCCAAGGTTACTTGTTCAGACTAAGGTTCACTAAAGCTGACAAGTCACTTTAAAATTTGCTTCTTGTGTTGATCCAAGTTGTTCACTACTGTTTTCACCTTCGAGCCTCACCCTTACTGATCCCAAGTGATCTCGATGTTCACTGACCAGGAAATAATAGCCTGCCTTTTGTAATCCTGTAATGTATTATGAAGGCTCATAAAACAGCGTTTACATTTGACATTATGACTTTTTTTTTAGACTGGAAGTACTTGGGAGTACTTTTTTGTCTCAGTTGTCAGCTTCAGCTTCCCAGAACAATTCGTCTGGATTTGCATAAAATGAAGACCCAAAGAGATTTATCTGCTGTAGGTAAAACATATCAACCGCTTAACCCTCAACTCAGCCTGATTTCACAAATGTCCATTTAATCGTGAAATGACCGTACTACATTTTCTGTTTTCTAAGTGTCTACCTGGATCCACTAGCACCATGCGTTTGTCCTGTGTCAGGTTGCTGCGCTCCTCTTGGTTGAAGGTCCTGTCGATCATCACCATTTCTGATGAAGGGCTGGAACGCTGCAAACAAATAGGGCCAAATGAGTTTTAGAAACTGAATTTGATTTGGAAAAATCCAAAGTTAAGCTAAAAGACCTCAATTGACCTCTAAATTCATCAATTCTGTAAATATAACCATTCTCCAGGGAAGCACAATAAGTTGTGCAGAAAAGTCAGAGAGACACAAAATCCCCCCCAAAATCTTTGATACTTCACAAACAATAATATCAGTTAATTATATTGTATAATTTAAAGTTCAATAAAAACACACAATTAAATAATGCCTGTGCTCAGCTTTTATTTGTCTTAAAT